CACGTGGGATATTTTGCAAAAACTTCTTTTCCCCTCCCTCATTCTCTCCCCTCCCTGCTGTTGCAGTCGTGGACAATGGATTGCAAGACGTTTCTTCCAATAGGAGAGGAATGCAGGCCAGCCAGGACTTCTCAGGCAACAATGTGTTTAACAGAATATGTGGCAGGGGAAGGAAAGAGGCTGAACAAGGCCTTATCTGCTGCTTTTTCTGAAAATGCATATGGACAGGAGTACGGCTGTGGAGTTAAGGGCAAAACTTCAGCCTCAGCCTTGGAGGATTTTCTATTTTAAACCAAGCTGTACAATGATTTTACCTGTTGCTATATGCTGCAGCAGCACTTTAGGATAGAAGAAACAGTGATGCTGCACATCCAGGCAGCATAGTGAGAGTTTCATAGTTATTCAGATGACAGGGAAAACAGCTGCAGCTTTCTTGTTCTTTGGGTTACCCACAGGTGCAGAGTATCTTGCACTGAAGAACCGTGCTTCTGCCACAGGTTCTTTGCATGTTTTTGAGGCAGCTGGGAAGTGTACTTGTATGTTTTAGTTATGTCATCTCTAGCAGCCTGGGTAAGGCTTCACTAATACCTCAGTTCTGCCTTCTACAAAGTGGAAAAGTAGAAACAGAGCAAGTAATTTCATATGTGTCTATCTGACTGAAGAGGGGCAGTGAGTTAAAACCAACGGTAATGAGTGTATTTGCACATTTGGTGTGCTTCTACTCTCTCCTCTAGCAAACTGTAACAAAACACAAATAAAGAGTTCAGCTCTTGTAAGAGAAGGAGGGATCTGGTTTTATATTTTGTATTTTTTTAACTAGGCTATGTATGTGTTTTGTCAGGGAATATCCAATTTTAAGAGACACCTGCATCCACTTTAACCCTCCCTTTTTTTTGATCCCTGCTTTTCCCACCAGCCAATTAGTGGACTCAGGAGGACATTCTGGGTCAAGCTATACCAAATACTGCAAATCCTCATTAACGCTAATTAGTGCTCAGTAGAGCTAATTGGTGGTGAAGCTCATCTTTTTTTAATTACTTCAGCAAATGAGACAGCAGAACCTTGTGGTCAGCTTTGAATTATTCTGTTTGTTTTGATGCACCTCATTTGAATGTGTAAAGCCAGATGTTTGTTGCTGAGATTTAAGGGCTGTTTGCTTTTGTGATGGATGAGAAGAAGAGAACACAAAGATTAAATGAAGGTCTCTGTTGACACCTTCGAGCTATTCAGATAGGAAGATGGAAGAGTCATTTTATTCATGGAATTGAAAACATTGTTATGAAATAATGTGTTACCTTTAGTTTACCTTTTGATTTGTCATTCCCTTAATGAATTTGTGTGATGTTTTTAGCACAGACTTCCAGGCAGGCAGAAGTCATCTTAACCCTCTTATAGAAGCCATTGCAAAAGTATTTCTGGCCCCAGGTATTCTGCATTATTGATAGCAACTGAATCTGCATTTAGCTGACTTGCGTACTGACTTTTTTTTAATCCTTTTTTTCATAGTAACCCTCAGAGTTGGGTCGTTTTAATAGTTATTGTTCTGATCTACTATTTGTTTAGTTCAAAGCATTTTGTCTGTGTCCTTTGTCCTTCATATAATTACAAATAGATGGTGCCTCTCCCTTACCCCCTCAGAGGTCACCAACTAAAGCATATTTCACTGTCGCTTTCTATAGGAATGTCCAGGTTTGTGATTTCTTCCATTCTGACACAATTTTTGAGGTCCTGAATATGAACACAACTATCCCGTATTTGGAGTATGATTTTATGATCTCTTATCCTTTTGCCTCAATGCATCTTAAGATGCCATCCTTAGACCCCATGGGGGTGCTTAGGCATTGACTCTGAGTCACTGGTAAGCAGAATTGAATTGAAAATCGTGGCTAATGCTCAGGATTGTTAACAAGCAGTATTTCTGTTAACAAGGCTTAACCTGTAGCCTGTGAGTCCAGTGTTGTTATTAGTTTTGTATCGAAGTGTGAGGGAGACTGAGAGGTCTTCACTTTGTTACCTGTTGACAGCAGACAAAACCCTTTTCTGAAAGCGGGGACTCGATAGGAGTGCAAACACTTTAAGAAAGCCACTTCACTTCTTTTCAGGGTTTGTATTGGGAGATCTAATATCTCTTAATAAATCAAATACTCATCCATTTCAGAAGAGCTGTGTTGCATTAACCTCTGTGTATTAAGAGCTTATTTTATAGTACTTGACTGGTCTTGACTGCAGTCTGTTTAGTCATCCCTTCTATGTAAGCCACAAATGCTCTGATTTTTCTTGAGTTTTTCTTTCTCTGCATAGATATAATACAATATAATTTCCCAGATGGAAAATCAGATGTGAATTCAGTTTTGAAACTGTTGATTATAGTTAGGAATATCAAAGATACTGTAGCTTTGGCTTTCTTAAAGCTGCAATGTGTAGTTCCTGTTCAGAAGTCCCTTGACAACACACTTTCCTCCATACATTTCATCCAGAAGCCTGAGGAGCTAAGCATTATTGACCTGCACATCTGTTGCTGTGTGGTAGACAGGCAGATGAATTTGTTCCTCACGCTTTTTGCTGCTATGATTAACTCCATTCTCAGTGTAAGAATTTTGTGGCAAATATTGCTTATTTGTCCCTTAAAATAAATATTTTTGATTGATTTAAGTTTCCTTCTTTAAATTACCCTCCAGTTCTCCCACTGAAATGGGAAAGACTCTTCTTGCATATTCTTCACGTGCAGAAGGTGAACATGTGTTCCACTTCTGTCATTCACAGGACAGCAGTTGGTTCAGACAGTGTTTCACTACACCAACAGGTTACCCAGCAGTCCTCTACAATTAGCAGGAGGTTGTACAATACAGCATCACTAACTTGCACATGCACTGGTAATGATTGGTTCTGCAGGCTGCCAACTTTGTGAGCAAACTGTTAAAGGTTAGAGAAGTCTCGTGTCTTGCTTCATGCCTTCCATTGCATCACCCTTACCTGGTGGTTCTTCATAATACATGCTTTCTATTATGCTGCCTGCTTGGAACAGTTAGAAATTTCTTTCTGTATGGACTTGATTTTTTTTTTACAGAAAACAACCAGTCTTTGGTTTTTTAAGCAGTTGGGTCCTCCAAGATTTTAGAAGCTTTCATGCTGTAAGCCTGGTTTTAATGGAAACCTGTGACCCTCTCTTTTTTGAACACATGCAGACTTCATGCTCCAAGAGTTTGTAGAGATTGTTTGACAAACTCAGTTGGAATCTATACTTTTGCTTCCAAATCTTTCATCAACTTCTGTTTTGTATTGAGGGAGTACTACTGACTGCAGGCAGAGAAAGTAACCTGGCATATCTGTTGCAGGTGTGATTCTGTGGGAGGGGTGGGGGTGGGGGGGAAGAGACCAAGTGTCTGAGAACACTTGACAGTTTTTAACCTTTCAGAGGAGGAGTCTGAAGGCTCTACAATTTTCCAGTTCAGGTGTTTGAGCTTATAGACCCCAGGAAAAAGAGAAGGATTCCTCCCTTTCTTTTGTGGACATCTCATTGTGCACTGAACAGAGGAGTGAGCCTGGCTGTTACCTTAATGGACTATTAAGTGGAATATAAGCCTGCATGGCTGGATTACATATTATCGGCATCTCAGAGATTCTTCAGTTACTTTCTTGTTTGAAGTTACCAAACTGCTTCAATGAAAGGGAGTTGTTTGTTTAAAGCTGTTGTAAGCTTGTTGACTGCAGCAGCTGTGCTTGCTGGGATTTCCATTTCATACACCAAATGCATGTGCATTTGTAATCTAATCCAGGAAAGATATCAGCATTGGCATTCAGGCATGTATCCATGTTTTCAGCATAACCAGTGGAATTACTGCTTGTGAATAAAGATGTGAAAGAAAAAGCAGACTGTGAAAATGGAGACACAGTGTAAATGTGGTGCAAATGGGATAAAGACACTGCAAGGAGCTGCTCCAGCTTCTATGCACTAGCTCCACCTCGGTGTTAGGAACAAGGGTGAGATGGAAAAAACATCCCAATTGCAGAGAACTTTGAACTAAAGTAGACTGTAATATCTTTCTGAAAAGAATCTGATATTCAAGTTATTTGAGGCTCCAGTGCAGTGAGATTTGATAACGTTATTTTAAAACCCTATCCAACGTTATTTTAAACCCCCATCAAACTTAGTGGGACTTGTATACATAATTAAGTGTTTTGAAAGGTCAGGATCTTAGTCATCATTCATTAATTCTAGGCATAAAGTTCTTGATTAAATGAATGTTGTGTTTTGAATAAAAATCAGAGTGGAGAGCATCTCTAATGATTTGTCTACGTGTGTTATACCTATTGTAAGCATACTGTATTTTTCACCTTTTGTATTTTTACTTTTTGTAAATTCAGCATTCATTTTTTCAGACCTTTGACAGGAACTGTGGAAAAACAAAGTTTTCAGTTGCTCTTTAAAAAAAAAAAAAAAAAGGATAGAAAGTTTCCTTTCTCACATGAGGAAAATGAGAATGTTCTTTAGGAGACAGAATTAACTATGGGTCCCAGCTTTTGTTGCTCCAGGTTTTTTTGCAGGTGTGATAGAAGCCTTCTACCTTGTGCTAAGCTTCAATGCTTTGCTCCTTCTCTCTAAGGCCATTTGTCGGTGCTGTGATCAATGTATATAATACTAAAGAGAAATCTTCTTTTTCATGTTCTGTATTACTTGGTCAGACTTCTAATATGGTTTGTAATAATTTAGAGGCATCAGGCATTCAGAAATTACAATAATGGTAATATTAGAGATGGACTGACTAAAAATAGGCTTACACAAAGTGTCCTTAGAAAGGATGAGTTTCCATCATTAGACAGTTCTCTTGATAATGTGCAGTTTAAACAAAAAAAGGGGAAATTCCTTTTTGTGCTATAACCATCTCAAATATTGACAAAATCAAAGCTGCTGAGTACTTTTTAAATACAACTAACTTTTACCTTGAAATTATCTGGTTACTCACTGGCATTTTTTTCTTTTTTCTTTCTCTCTCCCTCAGCGTGAACGAACGTGATCATTTGTTAAAAAGGCTTGGCAGGAAAACTCCTCCGAGCCTTTTCCGTGCTCATTCTGTCCAGCAAAGTGTATCACGTAAGTAGCGGATCGTGTATGCGTGCGTGTTTCACAGCAGTCAGTCCCAGATGAGTGAAGCGAAGGGTGATTAATTTTTAATTAAATTGTAGGTAGAGGTTGTCTAGCACAGAGTCTGAGCTGCCAAGCAAGACACTTACATTTGGAAGTGGAATTAGTGTATTTGGCCTTAGGCGAGTGGAGCTCAAATGCGGTTAATTCCCCAGGAACCAATCAACAGGCCCAAATGACAAAACCCCAGTAAGCAGGTTCTCTAAAGGTAGAATGCTCATAGTCTTAAGAGTACTGTAAAAATCAAAAACTCTGCATAAAATAAGTGCTATGATAGAGCCTAGCTTAGATAGAAATGATTTCTGTATGAGAAATCATATTAGCTGTGGTCAGCTGAGAATACAGCCGTGTTTCAGTAATGCCACTTGGGGTTCTGCGTTTTGCTGATGAGGAAAGCTGTGGCCTGCAGAGCTGCCTCTCTCCTTTCCAAACTCTTTGGCCACTGCTGGAGGAAGAGTCGTAACATCACGTCTTGCTACTGCTGCTGTTTCGAATAAATTGCATTTCTTGTTAGCGTACAGGTCATCCATTTATTCATCTTCCTAGAGGAATAGGCCTTGTATATATTGGACATGGTGGGGTTTTGTCAGTGTTAGAAAGGCTTCCACAGTATTAAAAATCATCGTTAACACCTCTGTGGGCCAGATACACTGAGGGACCATGCTGTCTTGGAAGTCCAGTCAGCCCCTTGTATTGCTAAAATGCAGTCTCTCTTGTGGTTAAACTAGTGGTCAAAATATGCTCATCTTACTAAAGAAAACAGCTCCCCAGTGAGCACTACTGCAGCGCACAGGGCAAGGGGCAGACACTCAGGATTTGAGTTTTGTATTGCCATTACAGTGAGAAGTGACACCCCTGGCTGCTGAAGAGTCACTGAAATCAAATCTCATTGCTAGCTGTGTCATCTTCTGTAGCAGAGCTGTTATGGTTCAGGTCATGGAGTCAGGGCTGGGATTTGAAAACTCAAATACCTGAGGTATTCCTGTTTTCCGCAGGGAATTTGACTAGAAGGGATGGGACAGTGATGGATCTGATAGTCTTTGTCCTTCATAGATCTGTTGCAAGGTCACCACTGTAAAGGGATATAGGGTTCTCAGCAATCAATCCCGTTGCTTCTGGGAAGAGAGGCTGGTGTGCAGAGCAGCCCTGTGGACCACATGTCTCTGCCAGTACTTAATCCTTTGTGTCAAGGAGCCAGGAGTGCTGATAGCAACACAGCTTTGGACATGCAAACATGCTCTTTGAGAAGATTCCAAAAGCTATGGTTGGCAGAAGAAATCTGTAAAATGCTTAAATAAATTGCTGTCAAAGTAGTCTGCTGTAAAGCCTTAACAGGCTACAGAAGAGAGATACATCAGAGGTGACTAGTCAGACTTAATATGTGCTTTTAGTCTCATAGTACACATCATCAGGTTATTAGTAGGTAAAAAGCTATTGGGAAAGAAAAATGAGATGAAAATAAATCCAGTTTGGATAACCAACTTCCCTATAAATGCAAATGATTAAGTGCTAAATGAGTCAGACCAGTCAAGACAGGTTACAATCAGCAGTCTGTTTTTCACATGAACATAAATTTTGATTGTGAAACTGCTAGGACTGAAAGATGCTTTTTGTGGTGTATCCATGACTTCTGTCATCTCTTGTCAAATATTATTTTCCAATGTTGCATAGCTGCTATATGTACAAGGCCATGTGAAATCCAGGGAACACATGTGCTGTTTTCACAACCCTAAACTGTTTACTAAATGCTAGAAATCTTCAAAGCAAAGAGTTGATGAATAGGGCAGTAGCCTTGACATGCCAGGCCAGTATCTTAAATCACACTACAAGCGCTGTGTTTGAAGTCTTGAATTGTTCATGTTTCTACCACGCCCTAAGCTACCAGCCTGTGAAGACCAAAAATTCCTTGTGTGACTTCAACTCTGAATCTGTCACTTGCATATAAAGCAGGAAAATGGTTAATTCCATTAGCACTGATGAAGGCTTAAGCAAATGAATTGCCTTAGTCCCAACAAGGAATGAAAACAGGATTGAATTTCCCACAGATTGCAAAGGTGCAGTACTGGTTTTAGAGTCACTTTATTTTTGACAACAACCACTTCCAAATGTTTTGAGATGAAGCAATGCTTAAATAGTTTTGTTTCCAATCACATGGAAAGGAGAAAAATCTTACGAAGAGTTTCCAGGCTAATACTAGTGGTCTGCAGTGGGAGGAAAGAGCTGACTGAGTTTAGTCTACACAGCCCTGTGAGAAAGGCAGAAGCTCATTCTGTATGTGTTTCTTTAGCTCTCTGTTGGTAAGTCAGCCCCTCTACAAAAGCACTAGCACAACACAAGACTTTCAGACATGATTTGTAGCTGGGATGCTCCCATATGGCACCAGGCTCTTGTGGATCCAGCCCCCAAAGTGGGTAGCAGAACCACACAGTCAGTGCCATGTCAGTGCTGTTCAGGAGTGCCAGCCAGAATTAGTCTCTTAAATGCTTCCCTCCCTAAAGGAACTGTCTCAGAGTGGCTGCCTTGGAGAGGAGCCCCAGTTTAGTAACCCCTGGAAGAGTATGCCCTTAAAGTAAAACTTTCATGACTGTTTTTCTCGCTCTTTGTTTGTGTGTTCCTGAATTGAGTAGAGCTGTCAGAAGCATGAAAGAAATCTATCTACTAGCTTGTACTATCAAAGATCATGTGTTTTTTTCCTATCAGTATAATGTCTGAGAAATTTACTTTATAAAAAATTTTGGATGGCATTGTCTTTAGTGGAAGTTTTATGCGATCATCCAGCCCATGTGTTAACATAAAACCATCTTAGTGGAATCATGTAGGCAGCAGTGACGATGCTGGCACCCAGACTTGGTCTGTCTCCTGGCAAAGGTGTCCAGTGAAATCGGGCATTCCCTGATGCCATCTGCTTTCTGAAGCCTTAAGCAGGAAATGTTACCAGGCTCCTCCCAGATGTGTCTTTGGACCCTTCCCTTTAGCTTGCTGTAGGGTTCACACTTAAAGCAACGAGCAATAATGACTTGCAAAAGCTCTCCCTCAGAGGGTTTGCTGGCAATGAGGTTTTCTCCAGGTTTCCATCCAAATCTGTGTCTTTTTTTTTGATGTGACTTTTTGAAAGTAGCACCTCCTTTAGACAAGCTCTGTAGATTCACAAGATGGCTCTGACCTCCCCTCTTTCCTTCTGTGTGGCTGAGCTGTATCACCTGTGCCTCCAGAGCCTCACCAGCAGGATGGGAGGAGTGATGCTTCCCTCTTGCTTAGACCTATCTGTCTATAAAGAAAGTCACGCAACATCCCTCCAGTCTAGTTTTCCTCCTGTAATATCCCTGCCAATGCTAGTTATCATTTGTCTCAGCACGCTTTTTAAAAATAGATATGGATCCCACTCCCATTAAAGCACGGCTTTGCCAGAACTCTCCCTGAAATGCCAATAGCCATGCCTGAATGAGAATTACTGCACTTGGCCCAGATTTCCTGTGCTAGCAAAGAAAATCCCTCTTCTTTTGACAGAATGTGGTGATTGCATAGAGAAAATCTCAACACAGAGCATATGGTTTGCACCTTATTAATCAGTTGAGAAAAAGCACCTGTCATCTGAGGTTCATTTCACAGTATAGGGGCTGACAAATAATAAATAACAATAATGCGTTCATGCTGAGGGCTCTAATCCCACCATTTATTCTCCACTAGCAGACACCTTCTTCCTCTCACTTTTCTGCTGATGCATTTTGATTTGAAAAACAATGGGGTAGCTACCTGAGATGTTTTTAGGCTCCATTTCCTCTTACCTGGCATGTGTTTGAAATATAATATTCATTCTGTATTTTTTCCAAGCTATGTGTTTGTTGATGTTAATTGGAGTTGCAGTCTTCTAAAATCAACTTAAGAAAAAGAAGTGGGAATAATCAGTTTAGAATTGATGCTGTGGCATCTGACTATTTTCGACATGGAAATACCAGTAGGTTAGTATCTGGGACAAAAGAGATGGGGTCATTTGTCAGGAATTACTCTTCAGTCCTTTAGAAAACACCGGCACCATTTATCAGCAGAGAAATTAATGATTTCTGTAAGCATTAGTCAAACTGTTCAAGATTTTAAGCAGCTCTCCCTTTCCCAGGTTAAGTGGAAGTGGATTGCTGGAGAAGTCAAAGCTGAGTTAGCATTCACTGTTTAACTGATAAATGTGAACTGTGACGTCCTAGCAAATATCCTTAAAAACTGTGCAGAACCAGACATTTGGCCTGAGAGAGGTTTGACTGGTCAAGTGATACCCTAAGGTTGATTTTTCTTATGTTAGAGAGATTTATGCTATCTAAGAAGCAACATTCACTAAAAGAGGGTTTGTTTTGTTTTGGTTTGGTTTTTTTTAAGTCACTCCCATCCTCACCAACTCCCTAAAAATTATAGTGGATTTGAATTTGGACATTTTTCTCCAAAGGCAAACAAAAGGATGCATTTTTGTACTTCAGACTATACTAAACCATATATAAACTATATAATACCACAACATGTATGAAATAGTGAAGTGCTGCAGCAGGCAGAGGTTCTGGTGGGCTACCAGTGAAAACTGCCCTTTTACCTAAACAAATCCTGGGACAGACAATTTGTGTGTACCAGAGGAGAGTGCAAGGAGTAGAAGGCCTCGAAAATAAATGCCTGAAGTGACTAGAACTGTAGGCGGTCCTTCTGTGAAGAGATTTTTTGCAATAAAAAGAGCACTCTGGACCCTTTCTTGGTCCTGGTCTTGTAAAGTGTTGCACATGAGTATGCTGTTGAGCTTCCACAACATTGCTGTCTGTGTTCAAGGCACATGCATGGAGATGGTTTGCTGTAGTCCAGCGTCACACAGACCAGAATAGCCATTGCAGTAAACAGAAAAAGAGTGTGTTAAATTGGAAGCCTAATGGGAGACTAGATTCTGATCTACTAATAGAATATCAAAGCTTTAAGAAAACCCAACAGGATGCTTTTAAAATTCAGTAGGTTGTCTGATAATATCTGGTACTAACGAAACCTTAGATTTGATGAGAATGTGGATCTCCTCTTAACAAGTGAGCCCCACTGACAGATATTCAAAAGTGTACCTTTTCTCCGTTAGTAAAAAGTCTCTGAGTACAAAGGTGCTTCCTCCTGTGACAGTCGTGAGAGGGTTGTGCCCAGAAAGCCCCAAAGAAATGTGCTCCTTCCTTGGGCTGCTGCAGGACAGCTGAACAATGAGGGCCTTGTTCCCAGGGCAGGCTTGTAGGTGTGGTTTTAAAACCGGAGTTGGGGGAAAAGTTCAAACTTCCGGAAAGTTCCCTAGTAACTGGCAGATGGAAACTTTCATTGTTTTTGGATGGGGTCTAAAAATAGTGGAAATGCAGAGCTGCTTGGGGAGTGTGGATGTGGTCTCAAAATGTGTGCATTCTGATTCTGCAAGGCACAGTAAGCTGCCTACACAGCTTGAAGTTCAATTTTAATTGTAATGTGAATAGAAAAATGTAATATGAACTCATCTTCCTGTATGGAGATCTACAGAAAAGTTTTAAATGAACTGCCAAATGTTGAGCTTCAACCAAGTAGGGAGATGTGCAAGGGTCATGGTCTTTCCCATGACATACACACAAACCCCTTGTTGCTAGTATTTCAGGGTGGATGAAGAACATGAAGATGTAAGGATACCCCTGGTACTCTTAACCACTGATCACAGCCTGACATTTTCTTTGCCATGTTAAGGTGTTTTCTGCTGGTGTCAGAGTGGTGAACGTGTTTCTTTGACTGCCTTTTGCATTGACATTGTGGAGTGATTGAGCTGCCTGGCTGCTTACAGGCCTGTGCTTGCACTGGAAATAAGCAGGGAGATACCTGGGGCTGATGGTCTTCACGCTCTTGTGTGGTCAGTGCTGTATTTGCAGTAGTCACGGCAATGGAAGACTTCACTGTGCTGGGTGATCTTACTGGATAAGTAAATACAGGAAAGCCATCTCCATGCAAATATCAAGTTATGGGTCATGGGCTTCAGTCTTCAGGGCTTAAGCTTACAGTCTTTGGCTAAATTCTCATTGGAAAGTCAGCTTAGTCAAAAAAGCTAACAGGATGCTGGCCCTTAACATGGAAGAAACCCGCTAGAGGTATTTGTTTAAGTGTCAATCTACCCCTTTCTAAATGAAAGCCTGTTTTGTAAGTAGTATTTCCTTTGCAATGATCCAGTATGGACATACTTTTTTCCAAAAGACTGTTTGCACTTCATGAACCTTAAGCAAGAGGCAGGAAAAACCAACCTCTACCTCTGTAGGGGTATGTATATTGGCATGGAACTGCTCAGGGAAGATAAAATGGGACATTGGGATGATCAGTCATATAATCAAATCAAGGTTCATGCTGTCCTGCGATCACTCCAAGAGGAAGGTGTGACTGCCGTGACATATTTCTGTTTGAAGCCCCTCCACTTACTGGCAAAGATTTTCTGCTGTGCTTGAGATTCAGGCCAGCTAACCTCTCCTGCTAAGGGAGCCTGCCTTCTGCCTTGAGAGCTTGAATCTACAGTGGAATCCCAGTGGCTTCAGAGGGGACATTTACCTGCGTTCTGTGAGAGAAGAGAAAACCCTACGCATTATCTAGTGGTCAAATGTCGCAAGACTCTCCTCTCAGCATCTTACAGCTGTATAGGAGTTGCTGACCACTCTCCCTGTACAGGCATCAACCAGAGAAAAGATCTAGGACTGCTTGAGCATCTCTGCTTGAGTCACATGGTCCCAACTTGGTTGTTAAGATGAAGATTTAACAAGCCTCACCTACAGGATACAGTTAATTTCTGGTCTTCTGGGCTGCTTCTGGCTACAAGCATTGGTCACTTGCCTCAAAGAGGCATTCAGGCCCATAGAGAACAAGTCCAGTCTACTGCAGCAAGCTTCGTGGGAGCCTCATATCCCTCCTGTCATAAGAGGGTGTTCAGCCCTATGTGCTTTTCTGTCACACTCTGTGTTGTGCTCCAGCCTTAGCTCACCTCAGTACCTGGTGCAGGGGAGAGAATTAAGGGAGGACTAATGCAAGGCATTTGATAGGTCTCTGGGTAGTAACTGGGATGTAATCTGACTGTGTTTTTTAGCCTCAGATAAACCTCAGGCAGGATTTGAGAATTCTCAAGCTCCTGCTTCCGGAGCTCCTCAGGGGAGATGGAACGTTACCCATGGAGAGTTACCCATGGTTTAATTTGTGGATTCTCCCAACTCTTGCCTGCTTCCCTGCTACCAAGCATTATCTGGTTATGTATAGCCTGTGCCTGCCCTATTTCTTTGTTTTTGTAACTATGCTAATCTGCCCTTCTTATCCTTTATGATTACCCATTTACACCTGACAACGACGTTTCCTTGGCATCACAAATCTGTTGTACTTTGCTATAGTTTTTCATTTAGAATTTTCTGTAGGGTCAAGTCTGTTCGGTGTTTCACCATGTAGGCCCATTAGCTTTTGTGACTGTTTTACCAGCCTTGTGATGTTTTGCAGATGATGTCAGAAATGTCACTTGCCTTATCCACAATACTTTAAAATATAATACTGTAAAGAATATACTTTAAAAGAATAATACTTTAAAAGAAATCAGGCACATGGTTATTTTCATCTGAGTAATTTCTAGGGAGGCCAAAGGATTGTGCTAGCTAGCAGGATTAACAAAATAAGAGACCTTCAGAGTATGTTTGTTTGCTCTATGCAAAATATGGGTGAATGGAGTTAAGAGGAGGATGTGACAAAGATCCAGTTGCAGGCTAGACATTTCCATGTTTCTCCAGAGGAAGTGCTGATATCAAGCAGACTGTAGAGGAGTCGAGCTGAAATGCAAATCAATATTTCTCTGCTAAGTCTTTGAAGAAGCTCAGCCACTGTAGGAGTACACATGTGTTCAAATCAATCTGTAGCTTTCTAGGCTAACACAGAGGGAGTCAGTGACGGTGTACATTAACCTGGCCTGGGGAGGGGAGCAGCAGGATGGGGCTGGCAGCAGACATCCTTTCTGTGCCACGTGGGCAATGTAGTGCGCAGCTGTGAGCATCAGAAGTGCAGCACAGAAGTGAAGACTGTTGCAGTCTCAATCATGTAACTTCAGTAATGACTAAAACTGTTTCTAAAAGTTCTAAATGAGCTCTAACCCAGTAATTTATTTTTGTCTCTTCCTTTACTTTTTCAGATGGGTATGCATTTTCTCAAGAAGAACATGGTGTTGTTTCCCAGTCGCAAGTTGTTCGATCCTACGATACAACCAAAAGGAGAACAGAAATAGAATAAATGGGTTTACCTGATGGGTGGTGGGAATAATGGGATTTGGATGAATGCATCCACTGTTAACACATTCTTGACTAGAATTGGTGGCAGTAGCCAGAACACCAGAGAACTCATTTCTGTGGCCTTAGCCAACAAGTTTCTGTATTCTCCCTGCAAACCTTGAGTACATAATGTGGGGGGGAAATCATTGTTTGACTTCACTCGCAAAGCTCTGCCTAAAGTTTTGTTTATGTTGTTATGAAGCATTTGACTGTGCTATGTGAGGTGTGAAATTAAAAACAATGTTTTACCACTATTTAAAACATCAGCATAAGGTTGTTCTGGGAGAAAAGTAGAAAATTTATGTTCCATGAGAAACAAGCCTTTGCTTAATTGGAACGGGGTGCTGAGATTTCCTGTTTTGTTACACCCAGACCAAGTGCACATGACTGCATGCAGACTTTACTCCTTCTAGTATTCACTGTTTACTAATTTGGCTGAAATTTTCAACACACCATTTGGTGTAAAATTTTTGATTGCGATACAATTTGTAGCTAAAACTGCTTTTTTGCCTTCTTTTGACAGAATAACACAAGATAGCAAACAATTACTTAGAATATTTCTTGCCCTCTTACAGGATTTATTAGGGATCTGTCCTAGCTTTCTGAAACCCAGTTAATAGCTTACTCACAAAACCAAGATGTGGAAGTCAAAGAGCTTGACAGGGCAGCTGTCTTGAGTGCATGGCATTGTACACAAAGATTAACTCAAATAGGTGCCTCCTCCTAATGCTTCATGATGTATTTGGGTGTGCACTTCAAATGTAGCTAGGGATTTCCCTCCATAACCCCATTTCCAGTTTAACAGTAGAACAAAACAGTGCGAATTTTGAAAGGTACGATCTTGTCAGATATGTTGATACGGAAGATGTGCATCCACGCAGGAGGCTGATGCTGTAACCCTAAAGAAGCATTTCCCGGACCAGGTATGATAGGTGTGCAAAGAAAAGTTAGGAAGGGTTTACACACACGTGTGTACACGCTCGTACACAAACAGAGCTGGTCATTGTGAAGAGAAGACCTGCTGTTTTGTTTGTTCAGCCAAACCAGTCCCTCTTCTAGATCTGATCCATCAACAGGCTTCCCAGGCTTCAGACCTGTGAGCCCTGGAAGAAATGCAGACTCCACGGCCTTGCTGTGCCACTGGGACAGGCGTGCTGCTGCATAGGTTGGAATTTGGAGGGCGGGGGGAAAAAAGGCAAAAACTGGCACATAAGTTAAAGCTGAAAGAGCTCTTAGAAAGCTTATGCTGTCCTCCAGACAAGTTCTATTAATTTTAGTCGCCAAGCCATGTTTCTGAATAGTATAAAGTAAATACTGCTGTGTTTAAGCCAGGTTTTGTGGTTAGTGTATATACTACATCTGTGTGTTTAGAAAGTTGGCGTTGTTTTTTGCCCTATTGACCGTCATCCAGATTTTTTTTATTGATTTAAATATATCCGAAAGCAATTTAAATATGAATATTTATGTTTAGCAAGGGAAAGGAAAGCACAAGCCTGGCCAACTGGCTTAATCTTCCTTAAGGGTTGAGAGTAAATGCCAGTGCTCAAGTGTCATAATTCAATTCCCAGTGCCACCTCAGAGGCTCCGAGTCCTCTTCCATGTTAAAAAAGGCAAATTTTGCTCCTGCAGCACCAGTCAGGATTGGTCTTGGATTAGGTTGATGGCACAGAGGAAAAAGTCATCACCTTTTTTCTGCAGTGCTAATGAGACAATTATGCAGTAGGGGAAACATGCAAATAATTTTGCCATAGGCATGAATGTCAAGGGGCCAAGTGTGGATGTGTGTATTTTCTGGGAGATAAATTTTGTTTTAAGGCACGAATACTAGTGCAGAGAACAAATAAGGGACAAATAAACCTGATCCCAGGAGCTTCTAAATCTTAATGCAGATATAACCTGTTAAACACTTCCTTTTATTTAGAACCCAAATCTATTTAGGAAATGTGTGGTGTAAGCAGTTCCTCAGAACTGCTAATTGTTTCTTCCTTTTGTAAAAACACAACGAAAATTAACTTCCCACCAAGACAAAATGAGATCAGCTTAGTCTTTGTACTTTAAGCCACACACCAAACACTGGTATGTAAACAATTTGGAGGCTTTTCATGAGGCTGCAGAAAAAAAGCTTTTAAAAGCCTCTGGATAATGAAGAAGGGCAAGTAAACGTGTTGAGCAGAGAATAGAAGGGATCCTGGAGTCTTTTCTGTTCTTAACTTACTGCAACGAAATTTACAGAACATAATGAGAGATGCTGTCATCTGATGTGATTTATTTTATTAGTGCAGACTATGGGCTGTATCATTTTGACCTCCCTGTAAATTGAGGTCAGTGTGTGTCACAAACACAGACCCTCCCTAGAGTCAATAGTGGCTTAGACTGAGGTACGTGTGTTGGTTGTCAGCTCAATGGGAATTGCACATGGGATTTGTCACAGGGCTATACAGTATGTGACACTGGGGCTAGTGGGTCAGACTTTATCATCACTGTAAGGCCTTAATCTCTAGCTGAGTTAATTCTGTAGAACCCACCCAGGTCAAGACCTGGCATTCTTCTTGTTCTTTGGAGCCATTATGGGAATTAATGTATTGTAATATGCTGTGGACTGGCCGTTGGAGTTGCTTGTCTTCAACGATGAAGTGTATTCCAGCAAAAGGAGAACGGCAGCTGCTCTGCATCAGCAGAATTCCTCGTTCATTAGGGCAAATGCATGTAGCAGTAACAGCAGCCTTTGAAAGCACTGTGTGAAAGTGTTATCAACTAGACAGGGTATCGGAGCAGAAGGAATGGGAGATTTCTGCGTGACCGTCCAGACTTTACCTGGGCTTGATCACAAAAGGGTTTCCTGGGCAGCTCTTTGCACTGACCAGAAGGAGGTGGGTTTGAGTATTCAGAAGGAAGCAGTGATTTACCTAAATTAAACTTGGATCTGGTTGCTGCTTTTTGTAACACCGTAATCACTGCTTCCATAGAAACTGCTGTTCCTTTAGTGATTGCCTAGTAGCAAATTGAAGCCGACGAGTGGGAACCTGAGCTAAGCACTGCTGAGGAGTGTGTTGACGTTTTCTTTTCCTTGACAGGGCTTCAGGTCTTGCTGTAGGGAGCTAGCATGGGAAGTCAGTAATAACTTCTCAAGAAGAAATGGCGAATAACCAATAAAAGTATCTAGGTCAAACTAAGCTGCTAATGTATCTAAAAATGTGTGTAGAGTTAACATGAACTATATGGGCTGTAAATTAAGATAACAGTCAAGCCTCGCTAATCTGCACTTCACTAGACCACACGCCTCTTCTTAGTGCATGCCAAAACTGTGCAGTCTCTTCCCCTGCCTCAGCCAGCAGCTAATAGCAGATGCTGCAGGGAAGTCTCTTCTTACCAAGATTACATTATTTTTACAGCATGTAATGGAGTGTGTTTGCTGGGAGACAGTCATAAGAATAAAGTCACAAATAAGAGAAAGTTCAGGTGAACCAGAATATGTAAAATGTAGGGAATGTAATGTGGTCAGTGTCCGCGCTGGGTGCAACTTGGCCCTGTATGGACAACCCAAGAGCTTGAGAGGTGCATGGACCTGACATTGTCCCTGTCCTGCAGGCTTATTTTATCCTTTTGGGCTAACTCACTAAATCTGCTGTTTCACACTGCCTCCAGTCATCAGTGAAAACTGGTGATGTCCAGATTGCATTCTCCCTTGGTTTTGTAAATAATGACTTAATTTCATCTTTAAATGCTCTGGCTGTACTTCTGCTGTTACACCTCACAGCTCAAGTTTGAAGCAGAGCAGCCCTTTAGTGGGTGTTTGCCCCCAAGAAGCACTTCAGATTTGTCAGATTTCTCATGATGTTAAGCACTGAGGATAATTTTACCTTAGTTTTGGATCATCACCCAGTCAGTTTGTAGGAGAGCTCTTTGTGTCTTGTTGAGTCTAATAAGAAACAGTGACAGTATGAAATACCTGAGGGGTTGGAGATGAGAATTTGTCTGTGTTTATGTCAGTGCTATACCTCATGTATCTGGGTAGCAGTTTGCTTCTGCTTCTGAAACACAGCACTGATCCTGCATGTTCCTCAGTGTCTAGACAGTTAGATTCCTTCTGTCCTGTCAGACCTTTTACTCATTTCTTACAGAGTTTGTCTGTGCTGCAGCTCTGTGCCTCCTCCAGAATGCTGAGCACGAAGTAGATCCAGACCCTTGTCCCTACCTTGTACCTGCAGGGTTCCCCAAGCCCAGCCATGAGGTTATCCCGCAGGCAGCTCTTAAGAGGCACAGCTAAAGTGCGTATCAAATGAGGTTTGAATTCAAATCCAAGTGTTGTTCCTAGCCATAACTCATAACTGTCCCTTCATGCTGCTCAGGAGGATATGAATCTAATGGCTGGACTTGTACACGGCCCATTCTCATCCCGCCTGTCAGGCCCAGTGTGAGCAGTCGTGTCACTGGCCAGTGACTCTAAAGTGATGCTTCTCTTTGGCATGTTGCTTATCTGCAGACGTGTCACTGTTCCTCAGAAACTCTCTGTGCAGGAGATCCCATTTTGAAGGGCGGCTCTCCAGCCAGGCTGAGAGGGGCAGCCACAGGGAGCTGACTGTTCCACAGCATGGTGGCATCGTTGTTTTTGTGTCATAGACAGTAGCTGGTGGGACTCTGCCAGCGGCAGCAGGGGTAAAATGAGCTGTTCCAGGAGCATAGCCCCTGCTTCCTTGGAAGTTATCTGTTAGTGCTGGTGAGGTGAGGCCTTTGACATGACCTGAGCTGTCAGAGATGTAGTTTCTTTCTGGAGCTATTTTCCCTGGTGCCGAGCTTTCTGGGTTGGTGAAACCATATACACTGATTTTTTTCTTAAAGCTTTCTTGTCCTCTGTGGGGTTGGGGCAAATATTGTAGGCTTGATTACACAGTTAATACAACCCTATTCCCATTTTAGTTTTCCTAATCTTAGAATATTGCTTATACTGACTTCTTAAAACTGAGTAACTCCAGGAAGGAAAGAGCTCCGATCTCTCATCTTCAGTATCCTATAGACACCCAAGAGAGCCTTCACCACCTTTCAGCATCTGTGACCAGAACTGTGTGTCTGGAGAAGGCCACTGCACAGGTCAGTACAGTAGGAGACATCAAAATAAGTCCATAGGGGTACAGAGAATAACTCTTTCTGTACGTTTTCCATATGTAGCCGTAAGATTAATGGAGGCTTTGAGCTTTGTTGGCAAATGAAAACCAGAAAGTGCCCTGTGCTGTTTGGGCCCCACAAGTGAATCCCAAAGGTGATCACTTCTCGGTGACCTGCAGTAAGCCTTGACAGCCTGACTGAGTTTATCTGGCCAGGAATGTGCTCTCAGATGGGCTGTATGGAGGGGTGAAGGTACTGGGAAACAGAATAGCTTGGCCAAGACCACTGCTGCAGTTAGAGGTTAGAGAAGGGAGGGATTCCTCAGGCTTCCCTGAAGAGCTGTGATAAAGTTTTCTTCTTTGGTTCCTTCCTGTGGCTCTGGGAAGGGAGGAGGAGAACTGAGTTCTGAGTTTGTGAAGTGCCGTTACCTCCTGAAGCTGAGTTTCTCTGGTACCAAGCTGAGTCCTGGGCTTGAAAAGAGGAAACGTTTCCCTGCCTAGCATCCTTTGGCTCTAGAGGGTTGTTTCATGGGTTATGACAGATTGCTAAATTGTTTCTCAGCTACTGTTTGCCTCATGGACCCACCAGAACTGAGCACTGAAATTATTTCAGTCCTGACTGAGAATCCGTCTTCATGTAGAGTTAATGGCACTTCTTAGGTGTTGCTCCTAGGCAGGTTGTTGTCCCTCAGGCCAGTGCAAGGGGCTAGTTAATCTGGGGACCTGGATCTTTTTTGCGATAGAATGTGAAGCCTAGAAGTTGTTTCATTTGGATTCATGGCCTGCTCATTTGTGGTGTGGACAGAAGGTAAAGCAGCTGAGTACTGGTGTTTATCCAAACCTGCCTTTATGTATGAAGAAGGCAAGACAAGTTCTCCTCAAGTCTGCCACAAGGGGTTCGTTCTCCTTCAGCATCTCTGTAGCTACTAAAGAGAAATAGAAGTGGGTGAATGACAAATTCTGTGTGGTCAAGCCCAGCTCTGGGCAGTCAAACAGAGCTCTAATGATGAAGAAAAGTCTAATACATTGCCAAATTGTCACTATGCATAGCTGGAAGGTCAGCACCCTTGTAATTATGG